AGCTGCGGAGGAGGCGTGGACTGAGGCTGAGCACAGGGACGTGATTGGCTGCAGCTTCTATTCTCTCTGTTACTTTTTTCCATCGTGATTAAACTGCCGGCTGCTCTGTGCTCCTCAGCCTACACGCTGATGCAGGAGCTCTTCTTCTTCAGCCGCTGTAGTCTGAACTTTATGGGGGGGGCATGAGGCTAAACAGTCTGGATCACATGAATAAGGTTCCTGACCTGCTGCAGTTCCTCTGACATCCAGCAGGGGCAGCAGTGAGTCAGCCCCCATAGGCCCTGTGTTTCCCTTCATAGCAGGGGCGGGTTTTGATGATCCATTTATCGATTACAATCGATTCTAGCTTGGATAACGTGATATCGATTCATTAAAACCCCCAATCTATTTTTAAATGTAAATTTATTTTTTACTCCAAACGCCAGAATCTCAGGTTAAACCTCACAAATTCCAACAACCACCAAACAGCTGAAACAGTAAATGAGAGCAGGAACACGATTCTGCACAAAGACGTAAACGCAAAGCGCCGACGCATCAGAATCAGCGAGCTGTCGCCCCCGACGGCACGGACACGGTCGGGGCTGAAAGCCGACAGCTCGCTGATCCTGATGTTTCGGTGGGTCGGCGCTTTGTGTTTACGTCTTCTTTGTGTTTGATTCTGAAGCTGCAGTTTTGTTGCTCTCCAAACAATATTGACCGAACCAGCAGCAAGAAAAGATCCAAACTACGCTTCAGCATCAGGTCATGTTCAGATGTTGAGTCAGTTTTTGATCGACTGCTGAATATTTTCAGGGTCATCTGCTATAAAATCCCAGACCAGGAAAACCTTCATGTGTTTCTGTTTCATCCTCAGCTACTTTGACACAAAGGCCTCTGCTGCGACGCTCACACCTGTGATAAAGTCTCACAGTGTCAGCTTTCTTTTCATAGATATAAAATATGGACATGTGCTGATAAGTGATCAGAATTATAATATTTCTGACTGATTCGAATTGAATTGAATTGAATTGAATCGATTCCAGAAATCAGTGACGACACCCAGCCCTACCTCATGACACCTGATTTTATAACTTACCTGTTAAACTATATTAAGGCTTTAAAGTCTGTAAAGTTTGCATTATTAGGGGCGTGGCCTCTTTGACCCACAGGTGGCTGTAGCTGATAGGCTGATCCGGACTCTCGACATCATGTGACCAATAATACAGGGAGCTATATTATAAGTATCATGTAATAATAGTGTGAGGTGACAGGTGACCCTGCCTTTACCTGTGGAAACAACACACTGAATCAGGTGTGCTTCAGCTGGGCTGTCGGCCGTCCTGCTGCTGATCTTCATGGATCTCAGCTCTTTCATAACATCTGTGTCACTGTTATGGGTTTAACTGATATGTCAAATAGTTTTTGTGAACCTGCTTGTGTGTGTCTGTGGAGCGAGGTGTACATCAGAGTGCTGTGCTTTGTCCTTTCACCTGGGACGAGTCGTGCTCAGGTGATTCAAGCTGTCGCCCGGGGACTAGTTTACTGAACCGTGGCAACGCTTACTTCCTGTTTCCTCCCAAACGCCCCAAAGAGCTCAGCGCTCCGGAGCGTGACAGCGAAGCCGCTCTGATTGCTTTAAACGATGCTTCGTGGTGCTCGCAGCGGTCCGGGCTGGAAGGGCGATAAACGGCGCGCTTCATTAATGGATGAGCTGCGTTTGTCTCCTCGGGACAGGAAATGAACCCGGCCTCGCTGTCAGGCTCCTCTGACTCGTTAAAGCCGGACGCTTTTTGCTCCAGCTCCAAAACTTTTTTCTCTTATTGCAAACAAGCTGCATTTTCCACTGCAGTGGCTGCTGAAGAGCTCCGTCAGCATGTTTGCCTGCTGCGAGGATATCAGTGCTAATACGACTGCTGGCATCTCCTCCTTCCTCACAGAAACACTAATTGGTTTGGCGGCGGCTAATCTAATTGGACACCAAAGGTTAGTTATGTGAATCCACACGAAGCCGAGCCCTCCCCACAGCCGCTCTTATCTGCGGCTCAGGCAGGCTGAGGAGGACGTGCGGGGGGAGGCAGCCAAAGTCCTGCTCTATCGTTACTGGCAGGGCTTCAGGGGGAGGGGCTAACTGCAAAGAGACGCACAGGGAGAAGTTTGTTTCTTCTGATTTTCTTCTTCCTCTTTAAAAAGTGGATCAGTATTCCGGCCTTTTTCCACCGGGACATGTAAACCACGGAGCGCAGGCTCTCTGAGAGGCTGGCAGGGTTCAAGCGAGCACGTGGAGGATCTCTCTGGACTCTTCTCATGTGGGGAAGCATCAGGGAGTTCATTCTGAGTGGACCTGTTACACGTTTCACACGTCCACACGAGTGACACTTGCAGTGGATATAATCTCATAAATAACCTGGATGTGCTCTGGGGGGGCGTGTGTTCGGTGTGTGTGAACGCTGTGTTCGAGGTCAGCTGCAGCGTGTGCTGTTTCCACGCGGCGCCAGACAAGACGAAGCGTCTTTCACGGATTTCCTCGACATGTAAATCATTGAGTGTCTGCGAGTTTGCAGTGACGTGGCGACCTCTCTGACCACGGGCAGTGCTTCCATTGACCTCCACGTTTGGCTGATGGCCGGGCAGATGCGGTCTTATCGCCGACCTCCTCGACCTCCATCTTTTCTCCACGCAGCAGCTTATCTCCATGTTGGAGATAAAGACGTGGAGAGGCCAGGCGAGCGCAGCTTATCTGTGCTGTGCGCTCGCCGTCTGCAGACACAGAGCTCCATTCTGTTTGCTTTACTGCACATGTGCACGTATACGCGCATGTGTAGGTGACGCTGCAGCTCACAGGCTGACATCACGTCTTTCACCGCTCTCAGTCGCTGAGAGAGCAGCTTCTCTGTGCTGGTGACCAGCCGGACGGCGTGCGTCGTGCAGCCGCTCAAGCGAGCTGAGCAGGACTTCCTCATAGTGAAGAAACATTCTTATATGGTCATCTTAAGGAGCGTCTTAAGAGGCAGCCAATCAGAAGAAAGCTGGATTTAAGGAAGGGGGAGGGGCCTTTTTTTAGACTAGGAAGTGACGGGCTGTAAGATAAAGAAGGATTATTGTGAACAGTGAATCATGCAAAGCTGCTGTGAAGGGTCACACGAGAGCGTGTTTCAGGGTCGTCATGGATACACAGACGGCGTTTCTAAAAAAAATAACCAAATGTTTTATTTCATGTTGATACATTCTTGGACGACACCACAGAATAGTTGCATGAGTGGCCAAATGTAAATCTCTCCCACAACATTGGCACATAAGCAGCAAGGGCAACATGAATATACCAAGTACAAACAGTAGAAAACATACATGCTTCCACTTTTAAAACGTGTTTTTCTTTTTTAAATATATATTCTCCGTGTGTTTCTCCCGCAGGGAATAAGAAACCGAACAAAGCCGCATTCTGCCGAGCGAGAACGTTTCCGAGGAACCGAAGAACGGACGATTCGGAGCAGACAGGTGGGATCGACTGTGGCACAGAACTTTTTTTTCTAGTTCAACATCAAACATATCAGGCATGCATTGACAACCTCGACATCGACACCTTTAGTTGGTTTTTTTAGTCCATGAAATCAGCAGAGACTCAGCCTGGACCGAAGGAGGCTCCCTCGGGGTAAGGGTCCGCCCCTCACCCCCACCGCCGCCATCAAACACCTACAAACAGTGTGTGGAGAAGAACACGCATGTCGGGGAGGGAATGTTTCATCAGGTGACCACGAACGGCTTTAAAAACACTTAAAAACTGTTTTGGCTCCGTGTCACGGCCAGCTGAACGGTCAGACCTGCTGTGTTTGTCAAAGCCTCTGAAAACGCCGTTTCTCACAACACTGAGGGTTTGCTTCATTCAGCTGATTCTCACCTGGAATAAACCTCGTTAATCTGCTCGTGCGAGTAACCGTCTCCAGGCCGGCGTGACTGAGGTCCAAACAGGAAGCAGAGGGTAAAGGAGGTCTCGGCGCTCCCAGTCGTTCGTTTTAACTTTCAGAGCATCAGATCGTCGACATATAAGCAAAAAAAAATGGAGCACGACTCTCCAAAAGGCTTCAACCTCTTTTACTCTGTTTCACTGTTTGGATTTCCACCGTGAAGATTTTTTAATGACTAAACTGTGCTGGGTAAACGCTGTAGTAGCTGGTAAAAGAGGCTGAGGGTGGAGCTGCAGGGGCCAACAGCACGGACGTAAGCTTGTGACCACGCAGCTCAGGTATGATATTTTTTAATCATGTTTATTAAAGAAGTTTATTTCAATGATTGTGTATTTTTGAAACGACCTCTTGTCTTTTTCAGGGGGACAATAAAACCGTGTTTGGTCCCTGATTGATGGGAACAGGCCAAGTCCAAGAAAGAGTAAAATAAGTCCTCTTACTCCACCCGCAGGGGTGTGGGTGGAGTAAGAGGACTGGGGTCAGGACGGTGCAGGTACCGCTCCGAGGCTACACAGTGGCTAACTGCCAGCAGACACTCCCAGAGCAGGCACTGTAAAATCCTCTGCTGCCTTCAGCCCTGCAGCTGTTTCCTGCATGCAGCCCAGTGAATTCTGGGATATGTAGTCAGGAGCAAACGAGCCGAGCGAGTCATAAAACTTTGTTTTCAGAGGCTTTTTCTTCTCACGTTTGCAGGATAAAAATCTGAGTCCAGGTGGCAGCGCGAGCGAAGCCCTCCAAATCTCCGAGCGAAGAAGAATATGGCTTCAATAAAACCGAGAAGCAAAGTACATCTGTCGTCGGCATGGCAACCGCAGCCGTCTTGCAAACCAACAGAAAGCAAACCAACGGAAAGAGGCCGACATATAAGCCATAAAGAACTACACACGCGGACAGGAAGGTGAGAACTTGCAGTTTGGAAGTACATAAAGAGACACGAGGGGGCGGGCTCACACTTCGTTTGACATCACCGGCGGCACGGAGCCCATCGGCGCCGCCCAGTCATCGCCGCCCGATGCATCCGCCGCGTTCGACCTCACAACCACTGGCATCACTTCAACGACAAAACAATTAGATTTTTATTTCTGGAGCTTTTCTCGACCCGGAGGGGTCAGAGTTCAGAGGTCGTCCCACCACGCTCCGCTTTGCACCTGAACGTCTCCGATGGGCGGTGAAGCACATGAGACCAAAAGAAGAGAAAGAAAAAGTCCTGCACGTCGCCGCTTTTCTCCCGTTGCTCGTCCTTCTTGCAGGAGATCAGACATCTCGCTCTGCAGTGACGGAGGAGCGCCGTTAGATCACGAGGTTGTTGTAGCTCACGTACTTCTTCTTAGCTGCTGGACCTGGGGACGGCAGGAGACACAGAGGTCAGATTCGGTCCTCACGGCTGCTTGAAGAGCAGAGGTGAAGGTTAATGATGGAGCAGGGATGAGGTGATGACAGACGTCCGGGTAAGTAAAGCTTGAATTATGAACTCTCAGCAGGGAGGACGGGACGGTGAGAGGTCATAACTCAAAAGCATCTGCAGCAGAGGGAGAAACAAAAGGAGTGTGGGCTTATCTGAGGGTCGACCGATCAGCCGCTGCGGTGGGTCTAACTTTGAGCCACAGGTGGCGCTAAAGAGCTGAAGATGGAAAGATGGCAGCTGATGAAAAGACTGAATCTGTGAGGGATCATTCATCTGCACATGCTCAGTAGAGTCTTCACATCTTGGAAAAATGCTTTTAACCCTTTATTTACCATCTTATAAGCAAATCTTCAAATGACTGCAAAATTCAAACGGTTTTAAATTTAAAGCCAAACTGACGAAAGACGTCCGTCGGGCCTGTAAATACACGCTGGTAAATAAAGAGTTCATGGATGTTTGAAAGGTTTGTGTACTTTTGTGTGTTTTTGTACTTGTACTCAGTGGGAACAGCCTGCCTCGTGTCTCCATGCCGTAGATTTCATGGATTACGCCCCCACAACAGCGCCGTCATTTCAACATGACGTGCCCACAGACCTGGAGAACACCTCCAGCTGCAGGTGTTTCACTAACAGCTCGCTGAGCCGTGAATCAAACGCGTGTTCAGGTGTCGGCCCGCGGTGGCAGTCCTACGACGAGCTTCAGCCTCTGATGGAGGACGGCAAACATGCTGCTGTACTGTTGGCTGTGTGACGCAAACATTGTTATTAGAGTTCATTGAAATATTCGGCTCCCTGTGTTTTGCACCTGGAATAAACTCAAGGATCAGTCTCTAACATGTTCCTGCCTGTAACACTCGATCGGCTCGCCGCGCTCTCTTCATTAAAGCACTCGCCACGTTGCTCGTTTGTAGCACAAACCTGTAACATCTGTGAGTAAATATGGTGCGTTGCTGTGGGTGTGCGGTCCAGCCGAGCTCCTGCAGACACCTGATCCGTGTCGGTGCTGAAGCTCTGCAGAGTTAGCACGCGGCTCCTGAATGACGCAGGAAGCTGAGCGTGACGTGTTCGAGGGGTTCAAGGTGAGCTGTGCAGCTCCACCACCTCCATATCTCCCTGCTGCAGCCCCCCCGCTGGCACTTGACCCTCAGCATTCGTCCGGTGACGAATGGCTGGGAACCAGGAGCCGCCATCAATCGTGGCAGATAAAAGAGAAAACGGCTGCGTTTGCATATTCAGCAGCTCTGACTTTGTGTCTCATTCACATTCAGGAGCAACATCTCCAGCTCGTCTGACAGCGGTGGGCGGAGCCTGATGATAACCGAATAAATTAACTCAGTCAAAAAAAAGAAGACGTCTCTGTTCATTCTCCCCCCCCCCCCGTCTGCAGTCAGACTGTTTCTGTGCAACACTCATCATAAACAGTCAGTCTGGCTATAATTAGGCCTAAAATAATGGTTCCAGATTAAATGATAATGAGTCTCCTTTAACGCAGCTGAAAGCGTCTCAGAAAACTCACAGACCCCAAAAAGCCGACGTCTGGGAAACTCGTTTATTTCTGCTCCGTGCAGAGAGTGAGATTACTCGCTGAGGAGCATCGGTAAGGGAGCTGGTCGCTCTCGGCCTCATCGTTACAGAGGGGAGAAAACGCCAGTCTGTATGACCTTTCACACACGCGTGTATACAAACCTGTGTCACACTTTTACACACAGGCTCAGCTCAATGACAGAATATCAACAGGAATAATTGATGAGCTTCACCTGTGGCTGCTCCCCCTGCTGGAAACACAAGATAGTACCGCCGGTTTTCCTACAGGCTTTTGGGGGTGTGGTCACATGAGGCCCACTAACGAGGATCTGATTACCGTCACGACGCTCAGAAATCCGCCGCGGTCCTGTCATGGATCAGTCGGCCATCTCTGGCCTCGGCGTGCTGCTGCACTGGGCTGTTTTCACAGCTGCTGACTCACAGACCGCGGAAGTGTTGGAAAGTCAAATCGCTCCAAAAATAAACGTTCGTCTCGGCCTCTGCCGGCGGCGTGGAGAGAGAGGCGGCGAGGCCTCATACCGCAGGATGGAGAGACAGCGAGAAAGCGGTCTTTGTGGTGGAATCAGCTGGAGGAGCGGGGAGGATGGAGACGGAGGTGAGGAGTAGGAGGAGGAAAGAGAGGATTTACAAAGTGAAGGAGGAGGGGAGCGCTGAGGCGCTCGAGGCCGAATGAGAGGGGAGGCGGAGTGGCGAGCGTGGGCCGGCCCACAGATGGCTCTGCCCCCCCCGGTGTGCCATAACTAACTACAGTGACTGATGTGCTGTAATTATGACGGGGCCTCGGGCTGCGCCACTGAGGTTTTCCCGCGGGGGTGTCATTATTTATGGTTACAGCCACGGCGCCTTGAGGAGCCTCCCGAGTTTTACTGAGAGCAGCTGAAGCTGATCCAGATTAATCAATCAAACCAGGACCCGGTTTTACCGCCACTGTTTCTCAGACTCTGGCGTCTCCTCTGCGATGTCTGCAGGACGAGGACAGGAGTGATTCTTATTGACAGACCCTGCAGACGGCCGCCGTCACGGCCACTGAGGAACTCTGGACTCTGAAAGCTGATGTTTGCATTTGTACTCTGCCATCATGAAGAGCAGAGAGCTCAGCACGTTACAGAAACGCCACGCCTGCACAGGCGGCGTGCGAGCTGCAGTTACAGCCTCTTGTTCGAGCCGATACGCGTGCGTGGATCACGTTACCACCACGGCTGCTGATTCTGGACTTGGTGCCCATTTGTGTCTATATTTCTTTAATGCAGCTCCACAAATCAAGCATACGTTTTAAATCCTGACATCTGTGGTGTGGGAGGAGCTACATGCGCGCTTTCTCCTGGTGACACGGTGCATTAAATTAGCTCACTGAGGCAGAGCCGTCTCTGCGTCAGGGGTCCCGGGAGGGGCTTCAGAGGTTCAACAGGAAGATCCTGCACATCAGGAAACAACCAAACTTAGGCTCCTCGATCTGCCCGATCACTCGGTGTGGCGAAAGCCCGGTGGGCTGTGTGACGGTCCCAGGTGAGGTGGCGGACACAGTGGTCTCACGGGGGCTCTGGGAGCTCTGGATTGGCCATGACTGGGACACTCTCTGAGCACGTGCAGAGCCCAAAGCTGGATGAAGGCCTGCTGCGTCGGCTGGATGTTTCACAGCAGGTTCAACAGCTGCACACTTTACATCCTGATGGACTCAGGAGCGGCGCAGGAACCCCGGAGGTCACCGGGGGTCGGACGTGCAGTTAAAGCACCGGAGGACGGCCTTAAATCTGCTGCTCGGAGCGCCACGCTACAACCTCCTCGTGTAAAAGTTAAAGTCGGTTGAAAGAGGGCGGTAAAGAGCCGAGGACGTCACTTTTACATCCCCTCCCCACTCGGGTCTCTCTCCTCCTCCTCAGACCTCCAGGAGAAAATGGATCAAGGTCGGGACAGCAAAGCAGAAGATTAATTTGCTCTTACCTCTGATAAATTATGAAATTAGCCTGTGAGGGGGAGAAAAACATGATTTGGTGAGTGGTCCCAGAGGGAACCCCACTGTGAGCTGGTAATTTGATCACACAGACATGTAATTTCAACTATTCAACTATTTCTGAGAAGCTGCGAGCCGAAGCTTTCCGCTGACTCTGCTATTACTGCGGCGTTTCTCAGCGGCGTCAGGAGCGCATCCTCGTCCTGCACCTGCTCGTTCCCACCTCGCGTTCCTTTAGCGTCACTCAGAGCAGCTGTGATCAAGTTCAGGACGTCTCCGAGGACATTTAGGTGTCTCCAGAATGGCTGACTTCCTGTTAGGACTCGTGTAGCTGCAGCCTGTGAGCTCACGCTGAAGCATTAATGACCTCGAGCTCAGTTTGGTCTGCTGTCAGCCACCTCTTCCTGTCATGTGATGGTGATTGGCTCCGCCCACAGGGAACTTCCGGTCCTTTGTCAGGCTGCGCCTGCGGGTGATGAAACCTGTGACGAGGTGACATCAGCTCGCCACGAAAGCAGGAAAAATGTTGTAAACGCCGTTTCTGGCTCAGATGGATTTCTGCTCCATGCACTGGAGGACAGAGCAGAACAGGCCCCTGCAGCCCCGTTCACTCCAACATCATCAGTCTGAATGATGTCACTGATGATGTCACGGAGACGTTTCTTGGTTTGATATGTTCAGCTGATTTGTTCTGAGAGGAGAACGATCAGAGCGACGGTCCATCGTCGACACGTCTGAGTGTGAACCCATACCGGCGAGTTTAGTGTTTGAAAACGATTCGTCACTTTGATGAAGGAATGACTGATAAACCTGTTATTTCAGCGTCTCTGTGGAACTAAAGGAAGTTACATGTGGCCCAGAGTTAGTGAGCAGCAGCCCTCCCAGAAAAGACGCCTAGGCCTGGTGGCGAGGTGGCCGGGGTGGCTGCGGGGCTCACGGAGCTCCACCCTGGGAGCGGTGTTACCTCACGATGGTAAAGGTTAAATATCTCCTCTTATCTCACACTCTGCTGAAGCAGCTTTGCATGAGTCACAGTTCAAAAAGCCCCGGACTTTGGTGCAGCTCGCTAGTTCATCCTCTGTCTCTTTAAGGCCCACCTTCTTCTGATTGGCCAGCGTTAGGAAGCCTGCTGAGGGGCAGCGCTCAGCGTGAGCCGTACTGCGTGTGCTTCTGTTTCAGATGGATTATTCTTACAGACATTTAGCTCATTGATTAAAGCTGTGGGCGTGTTCAGTTAATGACAGGAATCAGCAGAGTCGTCCTCTTCAGCCTTTACATTAAATCCATGTCTCAGATTTCTCAGTATTAACTGGAGCTCATTCAAACACAGACTCCCTGCTTTCTGTGAGATCAGCTGCTAATCCGCCCCACAGATCCCGAAAATCTGACTTTTCATGTATTTCAGAAGTTTGGAGAGACGCTAACGAGGACAACGAGGCCGTTAATGTATCCTAACGAGCCAATCATCACGCAGGTTTAGACCCACGCTGGTGTTCAGCATATAAACGTTAGTTCTTGGAGACAGGGCTGCAAAAATAAAAGCCGGTTTGTATTCAGAAACGTGATTAGCACATGCACTCATGCATTTGTAAAGGAACAGTTCAACATTTAATAAAACCCTCCTCTCCTTCCTGCTGCTTCCTGCTAAACGTAGCTTAGCAGCTGATGATCACATGCATCAGACTTTATTTTCATCGCTTCATTCATTCAGCCTGAAGCACAGAAACTGAGTGTCTGCCTGAAAGCGGCGATCAGGACGTCCAAACACACGCCGGCTCCACAGACTCGTCACAGGCAGATTTAAACATCGTGTTCAGGGTCAACGTTTCACCTCCGGGAACAACAGGGAACAAGTCTGTGACATCTTCAGTTTTATGCTCAAATTTCAAAGAAACGTTTTAGCCGCAGAATTTTATTTATGATCTGAACGAAACACCTGAGGTTTGGATTTATTTCAGATCATTCGAAGTACCAAAAATGAATCTGATAAAACGGTTAAACTCACAGAAAGCGCTCTCTTTTCTGTGAGAGAAACAGAACCTTTGAGACGTCACTCGAGGTGTTTGGATGAGCTCTTCTAACTGGTACTTACTGCTGGGGTCGACGTTCTCGCACAGCTCCGTCTTGGCCTCTCCGTTGGGCCGGTCACTGGCCTTGTGCGACAGCCGGGACGACATGGTGGCGGCCGTGACGACGGCCTTGAAGGATCGTTTCCTCTTCTGCACGTTGAGCTCCGGGTGGAAGATGATGACGTAGACTTTGGGCATGTAGAGCATGCCGAGGGCCACGGACGCGCTGAGGTTCATGGAGATGGTCAGCGTGGTGGTCTGGATGTACAGCTGGTAGGAGAGAGAGGGGAGAACGGGGTTAGTTAATGGTTTCATCTCAGAGGTGTTTTGTTCCAGTAACACTGTGAGGAACCTTGGAGTCATGTTTGACCAGGACATGTCCTTCAACACACATATTAAACAAATATGTAAGACTGCATTCTTCCATTTGTGCAACATCTCTAAAGTTAGAAATATCCTGTCTCAGAGTGACGCTGAAAAACTAGTTCATGCATTTATTACTTCCAGGCTGGACGACTGTAATTCATTATTATCAGGATGTCCAAAAAACTCCTTGAAAAGCCTTCAGCTGATCCAAAATGCTGCAGCAAGAGTCCTGACAGGGACTAGAAAGAGAGCAGATTTCTCCTGTTTTGGCTTCCTGTTAAATCCAGAATTCAAAATCCTGCTCCTCACATACAAGGTCTTAAATAATCAGGCCCCATCTTATCTTAATGACCTTGTAGTACCATATCACCCTATTAGAGCACTTGGCTCTCGCTCTGCAGGCCTACTTGTTGTTCCTAGAGTATTTAAAAGTAGAATGGGAGGCAGAGCCTTCAGTTTTCAGGCCCCTCTTCTGTGGAACCAGCTTCCAGTTTGGATTCAGGAGACAGACACTATCTCTACTTTCAAGATTAGGCTTCAAACTTTCCTTTTTGCTAAAGCATATAGTGAGGGCTGGACCAGGTGACCCTGAATCCTCCCTCACTTATGCTGCAATAGACGTAGGCTGCCGGGGATTCCCATGATGCACTGGGTGTTTCTTCCTCACTATGTGTTAACAGACCTCTCTGCACTGAATCATACTTGTTATCAATCTCTGTCTCTCTTAACAGCCTGTTCAGAGACTCCTGAACGAGCAGAGGTTCATCCATCTCCACTGCTGCTGACCTCTGACCTTTAACCCTTTAGAGCTGTGTAGTAGGTACCGTCCTGGTGACGGCTGTATTTCAGTCACGCCGCTCGCTCGTGTCAGCGGCGTTAAAGAGACTCGGGAAGCTCGCCTCACTCAGAAGCAAACTCTCGACACTTTTTATGAGCCGGTGAAGGATTGTGTTTTATTACCCGCCGTGTTCTCGACCCTCGCCTGCAGCAGAGAGCGGCAGCCGGCCGAGCCACGCCATTAATGTTTTATGCAGTGTGTATATTGCCCCTGTGTCCGAAGCCGTGGCCCCGTGAACCCAATAGAGGGCCGATACGGGCCCGGGAAGAATGCATAAAGAGGCACGGCTGTGCTGTAATGGGCTTCCCAGAGTGGCTTTCACTGAGTTCAGCCCACTGTCTTTATGTGTTATGGCCCTGCTGTCACAGTCTGAGCGACGCCATTAACGGGGAGAAGTCACAGCAGGCGGGGTGGGGCTGAGAGTTAGGGGAGCAGCGGGGAGAATATTCAGACCCGCAGAAAGGCTGCTCGCTTCCTGCGCCACGTCAGCAAGAAACTACGCCGCGCTCTGAAGGAACACAAGGCCCTGCACCACCACCTGACGCAGGTTTAATGAGCCCGCGGCGTTTACCTGCACGACAGTCTGCACGCACGTCTTCTTCTACAAAGCTGTGGCAGCAGACACACCTGCACGTGTCCAGCTCACCTACAGTATCTTCATCCCTGCAGCCCCCACCTGCAGCTCGTGTGCACAGGTGAGGGTTCCTGCCGTCTGTCAGCACCTCGCGTGCGAAAGACACCCTGACATACACGAGCTCCTCCCTGATGACCACGGTCTCGGGGTCGGAGACCTCCGCAGGTGCGAGCTGGACACACAGGTGTGTTTGCTTCGTTACAAAGAGGTGACGGACGTCAGAAACGGGCAGCGAGAGCAGCGTCTGTCTGCTCCAAGCAGACGAAGGCAAACATCGGCGAGGAGGCGGAGTCAGTGGTTTGTTTAAAGCCTGTGTGAGCTGCTGGCCCTCAGCTGTGACGGTCCACTCTGAGCTCTGGAGGAACACCTGCTCTGACAGGTGTGCGCACGATCGTGCAGTCAGGTCTGTGCGAGGCTGATGTGAATCAGCGATAAGATGACACGACTGATAGAGCCCAAACAGCAGCGCTCTTATCAGCTCACCTGCTTTAATGTCCATCTGTGAGGAGGCGGAGCTTGAGCTGAGTGATCAGCAGGTCTCTGTGGATGCAGACTGAAGTGAGCCCTCCAAACGTCATCGCTCATATACAATCTGTGGTTGTAGCTGTAGGTGGCGCTGCTCTGTTGCAGCTGTTTGGCTCTTTGTCTGTACACATCTGTCTGAGTGCTGCACATCTGGCAGCTTTTCAGCCGAGCTGGAGTGACCCTCCTCCTGAGCAGACAGCCTCAGAGCCTCTTCCAGCTTCACGTTGTGTTTCTATAATTCTTGCCTCCTATTTCCTTTGCACTTCTTCCCTTTCTGTCGCAGTCTTCATCCTTCCTCGCCTCCTTGCTTCCCTGTGACTCGTGGCGTCCCTGTGCTGTTTTCCTGACACGATGAAGGTCGTTTTCTTTCTTCGGCGTGTTTCAGCTGAAATGCTTGCGGCGTCCTTACGATGTTCTCACATGACTCCTGTTACTGCCGTCTTCTCGCCGTCACGTGGGGCCAAGCGCTCGGCTGCTCCTGCGACTCTGATTGGACAATTGGTAGTAAACAACGAGTCTGGCCCAGCATGCTGCAGACAGACTCCTCCCCCCTCATTTAAAGCCCTCCCCCCAATGAAAACGTGCTCCTCTTCTCTGAAACCACATCAAAGATGGCCGTCTCACTGAGGCGGCGTCAGGCAGCCTGCCGTTTCTGTGTGAGGCACAAAGGTGGAGGTCGACTCCATCAGGTGCAAACGCTGAAACTGACTCCAACTTATCTACGTCAGGCCCAGCTGCGGTCCGGTCGGC